CCCAGCCCATTTTATTTTTTATTTTGAGACAGGGTCTTGCTAACTTTCTGAGGTTGGCTTCAGAGTCCTCCTGCCTCAGTCTCTTGAGTTGCTGGGATGATAGGTGTGCACGCCATCATGCCCCCATTTTTTTGTTTTGTACTGGAGACTGAACCCAAGGATGCTTTGCCACTAAGCTATATCTCCAGCCTTTTTTTTTTTTTTTTAAATTTTGAGACAGGGTCTCAAAAAAGTTGCTGAGGTGAGGCTCAAACTTGTGAGCCTCCTGTCTCAGCCTCCCAAATTGCTGAGATTACAGGTGTGCACCACAGCATCCAGCCTCAATATCTATTATTTAGAGCTTACCAACCTCATGTTTTGTTATAGCAGCCCAGACACTCCCCTGTTTTCCACTCATCCAGCAAGTGTTTTTAAAAAAATATTTATTATTTTTTAGTGGTAGGTGGACACAATATCTTTTATTTTTATGTGGTGCTAAGGATTGAACCCAGGGCCTCACACATGCTAGGTGAGCACTGTACTGCTGAGCCACAATCCCAGCCCAATTTTTTTTTTTTAATATTTGGTAGTTGTAGATGGATACATTTATTTATGTATGGATTCAATACATTTATATATGTACATTTATATATGTATTGTATACACAATACAATTTTATTTATTAATTTTATGTGGTGCTGAGAATTGAACGCAGTGCCTCAAATGTGCTAGGCAAGTGCTCTAGCACTGAACTATAACTATAACCCCAGCCCATCCAGCAAGTTTTTTAAAAAAATTTATAATTATAGATGGACAGAATGCCTTTATTTTATTTATTTTTGATTTACTGCTGAGGATTGAACCCAGTGCTCATACATGCTAGGTAAGTGCTCTGCCACTGAGCTACAGCCCCAGCCCCCAATCCAGCAAATTTTAAATGAGCATCCCCATGTGCAGGGTTCTGGGCTGTGCCACAGCAGAGCCTTAACGTTGCCTGTTGCTTGCATTTCAGCACAAGACGCAAAGTAACTTCAGCCCCATGAAGTCACAGGCACTGTGATGGGGTTTGCAGGAAATAGTAGGTGTTGGGGCCGGGGGGCCGGGGGAGTGGTGCCTGGCGGAGCCACTCTGCCTCTCAGGATCTCAGCATCCCTATCCGTGAGGACTACGTGGAAGAAGAGTGTACACAAAGCTCACAGCAAAGAGCCTGGCACACAGAAGAAAGGCTCTGCAATGCCAGCGGCCACTGGCAAGTACCTGGCAGATGGTACCCATATTCCCTCCCAGAAACGGATCATGCACCAGGATTCCAAGGCAAACCTCTGTTGCTGATACCCTTTCTCCCCAGGCCTGATGGATGGCTAGCAGCTGGGGACTCTTTTCAGTACTGGGGATTGGACCAGGGGCGCTTAACCACTGAGCAATATCCCCAGCGCTGGATTACAGATGTGCGCCACTGTGCCTGGCAGCACAGAACTCTTCCCTGGGAAGAGAGAAACCTGTGCAGGGGATGAGGAGGATGGAGGAGGCACCCTCAGCTCCTGGAATGTCTCAGCCTCCAGTGCCTTGCCTCACATGGAGACTAGGGCCACACCTCACCATGGCCTGTAGGGAGTGTGACCCTATCATCTGCTATTCCCATTGGCACCTCAGGGAAGGAGAGAACCTGGACGTACCCAGGACTCTGTGGACAGTGTCGGAGCCTGGCCGCCTCACTGTGGACCAGCGACTTCCCCTCCCCTCCTGCTGCCACCCTTGCTCCTTTCATGCTGCCGCAGCCCATGCCACTCTTCTCCCTGGCAGGTCCCCCATCTAGGATGCGTAGGCCCCCAGGCGGGCTCCGTCTTTCTTCTGGGTTCAGCTCAGCTGTCTCCTCTTAGGAGAAGCCTGCGGGCTCCTTGGGGAGCAGGCGCTGGCTCCCTGTCCTCAGCCCCGCAGCCATGTCCCCACCTAGCAGTCTGCAGGAGGTGCCTTCTCCCAGGGGTCCCACAGGGTTGTGACCTCCTATTTACCAACGGCCTGTCTCATCTGGGCAGGGGCCCTGTTGGTCAGTGGCCAGCCTTGACCTGGGTGTCTAGACATGGATGTGACAAAAATGTGAAGGAAATATATATTCTACCCTCAACCTGCCACCTGTCCCCAACCTATAGTTGATTTGTTCTGAGGACAGGGCACAAATCCCCAGACACAGCCCTCCTTATCAATAAACTACCCACATTCCAGACCCCTGCCAAGATGCCCCCCAGGCCAGCACTCTCAGCCCCTCTGCAGGAAAGACGCTCTTAAAACAAACAAACAAACAAAAAGACACTCTGTTCTGCTGCACTTTGCACAAAAATGTATTTCTGTGACATCCCAAAGTACAGACATTTCCCCAGGCCCCAGGCTGAGAAAGCAATGCGATATGAGTGAGCTCTGCCCCGGGTCTGGCTGGGGCTGTTGGGGCCTGGGATGGAAGGAAGGGGCCAAGGTGGCCATCTGCCACACTGGAGGGAACAGGGGTGAGCCCCCTTCCCAGGGCCTAGAGGGAAAGACTCAGGGAGAAAAGGGCTGCCTGGTCTGCTCTACCTGGAGGTAGAAAAGCCAGGAGAATCCAAAACAGGGCCAAGGAGGAAGGCTGCCTCCAGGGTTGGCTCTGCCCCAGGTCTCTTGTTCCCCGTGGCCCGCCACCCGTATGTCCGATGAGAAGCAACTCCAAGTTGGAGCAGGGGGTACACAAGGTGTGGAGAAGCAGCAGCCTCTCATGGGGTCTACAACACAGCACAGAGGTTTCCCAGGTACAGCCTGGCCCAGGGCTGGTCTGGAGGTGGCTGCCTGCTGCCACTGTGAAGGGCTAAAGTGGGGACCTCCTGCCTCGGAGAGGTGTGGGGTCCTCTGGGCAGCGGGGCAGGCAGGGGTGAATGAGGCAGGTTCAGTTCTGCTGGTGGGGGTGCCTGGGCACCTTGGGAGCTTATGGGAAAATGAGGGCTGTGGAGAGTGGGAGCAAGGCCCTGGCCCCAGAAGGTGCTGGCTTCCAGAGCAGGGCAGGAATGGGATATGTTTGGCAGAAGGGGCAGTAGAATCTGCCCCCGAGTTCTGGCCATCCCTGGGCTGGGGCCTTCAACAGCCTGGGGCCTGATGGGAGACGCAGAAGCAATCTCCATAGCAGCATGGCCGCAGCAGGCCTGGCCAGAGGGTGGGGCCTCGGGAGCGGGGGCAGCCTGGCCCTAGGCCTGGGAGCCACTCACTGTCCTGCCCCTGATAGCCCACAGCCGGGAGCACCAAGGCTTCTGGGAGACCCAGTGGGGACAGTTTTAATCCCCACACTCCATCAGCCATGCCCAGGAGCCCAGTGGGGTTGTCAGGCCTGGGTGTGTGGCTTAGGATGCTGGAGCAGGCTGACCCACGCGGACTCCTCTCCAGACAGACGGGAGGCCGGCCAGGGTTGAGGTCACCAGGAAAGGTCGGGACACTCACAACGTTAGAGGCATGTAGTCTGGCTGGGGTAGGAGTGAGTGTGGCAGCAATGAAGGCTTGGAGTCAGGGTGAGAATGGCCAAGGAAGTGGCAAGAATTCAGGGAGGTTTCTTTTGTTTTTGTACAGAAATCATACACACAAAACTTCACACTTCCTAACCAAAAAAATAATATATATATATATGTATATATATATATAATATATATATCTCACTAATGTTAAGGAAAAGCGTCGGTTGTGCAAAAGTCCCCTCTGTCTTTGTCACGTGGGAGGCTCCTGGAGGGACCTGCCAGCTGGGCCACGTGAGGCTGCTCTGGGCCTGTGGTCCGAGCAGTGGCGTCTGCGGGCTGAGACCTCTATCTGGACGTGTCCATGTTCTCCTCTTTAAAGTTGCTGCAGTGCTCAATCACCTTGCTGCAGACAGGGGGAAGAGGGTTGGAGGGTACAGTGGGTCCTGGAGACCCGCAGCTGGTCAACTGCGGCCATGCACTGCTGACCAAACGAAGGGCACAGAGTGGATGGAGAAGCACCCACGAAGAGGTTTCCCTGCCACAAATCACCCAGGCTCCCCTCCCCCCTTCCTCTGCTCCCGACCACCCTCAGCCCCTCGGCACCATGGACAGCCCACTTCCCAAGCCCCGTGTCCCTCTCCTCGGCAGTACCTTCCTCTTTCCTCAGGTCTGCTAGAGGTTCTCAAGTAGCTAGCCGCACACCCAGAAACCAGACGCTCTGTCCTGGCAGCAGGCCCAGGCTAGGTGAGGGCGCTGTGTGATCCAGCCTGACCCCTGGGAACTGCTGCCCACTGCTGTCAGGTGCCACCTGGACCCTAGGCAGCTTGCCCATTCAACACAAAGCCTCTGGGCAAGGGGCTCCCTGCAGACTCCCCATGTTAACGGGAAACCCCATGCGCTAACAGGCCTCTTCAGGGGAAAGGCCCAGAGTGGGGCAGGAGCACTGAAGCCTTTTCCTGCACACCCAGTTTACTGGCCAGGCTTATCCAGTGCTCTTCTTTTCCTTTTTCTTTTTTTAATTGTATCTCAATACGGATGTGTGTGTATGTGTGTTTTTCAAATATCCTGGGATCCCTGTTTACTGTATTTCCTAAATGCACTACAAAACAAAAAGGCCTTTTTTTGTAGGTAGGGGTATACTGGGGATTGAACCCAGGGGCACTTAACCTCTGAGCCACATCCCTAGCTCTTTTTAATTTTGAGACAGGGTCTCGCTAAGTTGCTTAGGGCCTCGCTACGTTGCCCAGGCTGGTCTCAAGTCTCTATCTCCTGAGTCGCTGGGATTACAGGTGTGCACCACTGCACCTGGCTGTGCTTGTCTATTTTATTTTATAATTTTTTTAAAGTTATACATGGACACAATATCTTTGTTTATTTGTTTTTATGTGGTGCTGAGGATCGAACCCAGTGCCTCTCACGTCAAGACAAGTGCTCTGCCATTGAGCCGTACCCCTAGCCCAAATTTTAAACAAGTTTTCCTCGTGATTTTTTGGGGAGTTAAGTTTGAGAACCACTCATTTCACCACTCCCAAACTCAAAACAAATCTGTCAATTAATGTTTAGGCAGCGCTTTTCTCCAGAAACACTGGCAGAACCAGTTGCTGGCTCTGGCCGGGGGCGTCATTGTCTGGGAGCCTCTGTGCACCAGGCCCAATCTCTCCAGGTTTCCTTCTACTCTACCCCACGTTCAGAACTACGACGACAGGAGTCCACAGATGTAGACTGGACTGCACTCCCTTCTGGAAAGGATCTTGGAGATAGGAAGGTCGTCATGGCTGATTCTGACACATACCACCCTTGAGTGTTTCTGGCACACAGGTTGATGGGAGAATCGGAACTGATGTTTCAGACCCAGCAATGGAACCTGCACAGCAACTGAAGCTGCTGAGTCTGGCACGTCCACGACCTTCACATCAACATGTCTGCGGTGCTGGGGTTTGAACCCAGGGCTCCACACACACTAGGCAAGTGATCTGCCAGTGAGCTGCATCTCCCGCCCAACAGAAGCAATGCTTTTTTCTTTTATCGTGACTCTCATTCACCTTCAGAGAAGTCCACTCGCCTTCTGCCATCTAATCCATGGAATGTACCTTACCACGCTTTGTCCTTTTCTTTTGCAATGTCTTTGGCCAAAAATATAAGTTACTTGGTAGTGCCTGGACATGAAGGGTGGAATTTGTTGGGACTGAAAGAAGACTAAGCTCACAAATAAGGGCAGCAGGCTCTACTCCGAGCTCTACCATCTGGTTTCCCAGCATATTGTGGCTGAAATGACCCTGAGTGGTCCCTGGGAACTTGGATATTTCTAACCAGCAGAGGGGCCCACTGTGTCCCTCACGCCCCACATCAAGGCTCCAGGCAGCAGCACACTGCTGGTCTCTTACCGGGCCATTTCCTTGGTCTCCTGCCTTGCAGTTGCCATCTTGATCACGTCCCTCAGAAGGGGCATTCCACCTTCTCTGACCAGCAGGGGGCAGTACTTGTCGGCTGTGAGGTAGGGCAGACAGCTGATGGCAGGGAGGCTCTTTCATCAGCCTGTACCAGGAACCCACCCTTGCTTTGAGGACTACCTGAAGTGGGCAGCTAGCTGGAAGGGCCTGGCTGGGAGCAGGGACAAGCCACATTTGCCTGGCCTAGTGGGTGGAACTGTGTCCACCTGCAGGGCAGTGGTGACTCCCTGGAAAGACTTCCCTGCTATGCTTCAGTGTGGCTGCATTTTTTCCCCCAGTGCTTGTTCAGTGACAATATCACCCAAATCAGTGGCCTACACAGAGGGAGCTGCTGTGAAGGTTGGTTGATTCCCGGCCCCTGGGTGTTTGGATCTAGCAGACCCAGAGCCCTGTTTTGTCACTAGGGATTGAACCCAGGGGTGCTCTACCACTGAGCTACAGCCCCAGTCTTTTTTGAGACAGGGTTTCCCTAAGTTGCTGAGGCTAGCCTTCAACCTGCCATCCTCCTGCCTCAACCTCCAGAACCCTTGGGATCACAGGCATGGCCCCTGCACTGGCTCAGGGGCCTATATTTATGTACAACACACCACTGTGGGTGCAGAAGCAGGTAGGTTTTGATTGTCCACTCATACTGGGGCAGGAACAGTTCAGAAAGCTGACTGATAGCTGTCTTCTGGTGACCTGACAGGGGACAGCCATCTTGCCGGCATCGCACAGTGCTGGAGAGCGGGAGGCTCTGCTCTGAGGCCCAGTGCCGACCAGCTCTCCTAGTGCTCCCGGGGGCCACTCTGCTCTTGGGGGGTGAGTGGTGGGACCAGGGGCAGTGGGCACTCACGGTAGACAGACACTAGGTTGTACAGGGCCCAGGTTGCCCAGTGCTGGCTGACAGGAGAGATGCCCTGGGGAAGGAGGCGGAGAATTGGCTCAAAGGACCTAAGGAAGAGAAACCAAAGTCATTTCTGCTGGGGAGTGGGGTGAAGCTTTTCTTGCCTGAGGCTTCTCCACCCTGAAGGGTCCTTAGGACCAACAAGGGTAAGACGCCAGGGAGAAGCAGAGCTGGCCCTTTACCTCACTGCAAGCTCCACCAAGGAACTCCCAAGAGCCCAAGAAGGAGGCAGGAGGCCACAAGTCGGGTGGGGCAGAAAGCTGAGGAACTCAGCACAGGGGTCCAACGTGGGGTGGGGAGGGGAAAAGCAAAGTAGGAAGCAGAAGAAACAATGACCGCACCTCTTCCCAGGGTCATGCGTGGGCCAACCTGAAGTTATGGTTCAAAAGCCCCAAAAAAGGTACCAGGAAAAGCTCAGGGCCGGCACCCCACCCCACCCCACCCAGGAGCTGTAGTACTTGGGGCCTCAGCAGAGCTGTGGTGTGATCCCGACCCTCCACTGTGCGTGCCCAACGTATCCGTCCACGGGGACAGCACGGCACAAAGCAAGTGACTCAATCATATGGCGGTGAGGGAGACCAGCCTGGTCACTGGTGATGCTGTCACAGTGCAGTAGCAGCTGACGCCAGCGGAACTGGAAGGAATGACATGTGTGCCTAGAAAAGCTGCGGGAAGAGGGGGCCGAAGGCCAGCGGCGGGGTTCCAGGGAGCACGAGCGTGATGCCCCATGGAGCACAGACGAAGAGCACCAGGCGGCACAAGTGGTCCGTGTCCTCTGTGCTCTTGGCTGTGTGTGGCTGTACCTCAAGGAGTAAGAACAAAACCCCGTGGAGGACTAGGAGGAAGGCAGACTCTGGCCAGACCTGTGGGGACAGCGTCCTGCCTGCACCTCCCGGGCTGCGCCGCACCTGTAGTTGATATTCCTCCGGGAGTTGATGTCCCAGCTCTGGATGGCTGCCCACATGCGCTCCTCCACCTCCTCCCGCTGCGGCTCACAGACGCCCCAGGCCTCGGGCCCGTCAAACATGATGTGGGAGAGGACACCACAGGCATTGTAGGAAACCTCGATGCCGTCAGCCTTGCTCTCCAGCAGGTTGCTACCAGAAAGAAATGGAGCCCTGTCCCTCTTCCCATACTGCCAAGGGGTTGCCACTTAGGAACCAGATGCCAGGGTTACTATTTACTTCTTTGTCACTAGTTTATACTCAGACTCCTTCTAAAGGGATTTGAGGTTACTTAAGAGAGTTACAAGAGGATCATTTGTAGAAAGTTGAAAGAATAAGAAACACATTACAGTGGGAAGGCGACATTTGTAACAGAAACCTAGGCCAGAAACAGTGTGGCAACCGAGCAGACCATAGTTCTAAGTATCCCAGCAGCCAAGGCAAAAAGGGAAAGGCAACCTGAAGACGCTGATGAACTGGGAAGTCATTAGCTGAGGCCGCAGCTCCTTCACCTCTGCCACATTCCCCAAGAGTCCCAGCATATTTCGATGCAGTTCCTGCTTTTCTGGGAATTCCTGGCAAAATGAGAGCCATTGCAGCCAGTTAGCACTTAATCACTTAGTTTCTGGCGCATTAACCTGAAAGCTTGCGGGCATCTATCTGGCCATTCCAACTAGACAAAGGGGTTACCATAGGCCTCCTGCTTTCCAGTGGACCCAGGGCAGCTGGCACTCTCAATGAGGGATTAAAAGTGGAGGATCCTTATATGAGACAAAGGCTGAGAAGAGATCTGAGCTCTCGACAAACATGGTTCCATTTACCAAGGCTCAGAATATTCGTTTCTGGGATGCCCTTGAAGTCCAGAGTGAGGATCAGAGCCTGCTTTTAGGCTGACAGATCGTCCTACTGGACAGAATTCTGTCCAGCTGATGCCATGATGGACTCCAGCCAGCGTGGGCAACCTGAGAAATGATGGCTGGGAAAGAGGATGGGGCTGGGTTTCCCATGGAGGTGGGAGGAGGGCCCTAAAGAGTCCCAGCCAGACCAAGCAGGTGAGGGGGGTCTCGCCCTGTTCCCAGCCAATCTTTGGCTGGGGGGCCCATGAGGTGGCCCGTGGGAGCCCATGAGGAGTGTTAATGGGTCTAGCCGGGGGAGCCTAGGGTCAGGAGAGCGTTGCACAGCCACCTGGGGTACCCGCACTGCAAGGTGGACCCTACCTTCAGGCAGTCGAGGAAGAGCTTCATGCCATTGAAATTGAGGAACATCTCGCAGTTGTCAGGCGTCTCATCTGTGATGTTCCACAGGGCGCTCCAGGAAAACTCCATCACCTGGTCACACTGGGAGGAGGGACAGGGCTCAGCACCTGGATAACACACGGACGTCCCCCGGCAAGCCTTTCCCTCTGGGCTGGGGGAAGGGCGGAGTGGCTCCTGAAGACCCGACTTACTATCTTGTCCAGCAGCTTCTTCTGGATCAGCTTCAGCATGGTCTGTGGGTGGAAGAAGGAACTTGCCAGAGGGCCGGGCTCCAAACGAGCTTGCCCCCAGAAATGGAGAGGAGAGCTGGTGATCAGTTCTTGACCAACACATCCCAACAAGATCAAATCTCCATATGGCCTTGGGAGGCTACTGGAAGGCTCAGGAAGCACAAGTGCTTGGAACTTGGAACCAGGAAGCCCGGGTGCGGGTCCCAGCCCTGAGCTGACTCGCTGTGACTTTGGCCATGGCCTTCCTTCTAGTAGCCTGTGCTTCCTCAGCAAAATAGGAGAGGAGGGGAATCCTCGTCAGCCTTCTCTATGCTCCTCAACTGGCTCCTGGCCCAGGAGAGGAGTGGCTTGTCCTGGGTGGGGAAGTGCTGTGGACACAGGGACCCCAGACAAGTATCGTGCTTCTCCCTCAAGAGCTATGTGGGCCAGGGGAGGGGAGGCCCATGCAGAATGTGCTGGCCTCATCTGGCTGGGTGTATATGGGAACACCAATCTGGTCTGAGGAGGCAACAATGACTTGTAAAGTGGGACCGGATAGATGAGCAGCAGGGGATGGGAGAAGGGTGAGGAATCCACAGTCATAAGCAACATTCACCACTAAGAAATTCTTCCAGGAGCTGGGGACGAGCTCAGTGAGAGAGACATGCTTAGCATGCCCAAGGGTCTGGGCTTGATTCCACAGCACCGGAAAAAAAAGAAAAGGGGGGAGGAAGTGCTTTCCTTGGTCTAGTCTAAATCCTTCCTGCCTCCATGTACCTTCCTCCCCACTCCTCACATCCAGCCCCAGTCCCCCCCACCCACACGGTCTATGATGGAGTATGGCAGGCAGGGCTCCTCAGTGACAGGCAGAAGCAAGTCACACATACCACAACAAAGCCCATCTTGCCCACGGCTTCCTTGTGGTCATTGTCCACCTGGCAGACCAGGGCGTTGCACAGGTGCACGGCGATGCGCTGGATGGACTCATCCTGCCGGGTGGGGTTGAGAATGCTGAGCAGCAGTTCATTGACCCGGCGGTACTGGAACTCCAGCTCCTCAGGGATGCTGAAGTTGCAGAGGGTCAGGCAGCAGTTCCGCTGCACCTGGGCAGGGTGGGAGACAAACAGAGCAAGTTCAGGGCTGGACTCAGGAGCAGAGCTCAGGGGCAGGGCTCAGGTTGCTCTCAGGAGGCACGAGGTCACCTGAGCTGGGTGGTCCAGGCTCTTTGGAAGAAATACTCATAGAGAAGAATGCAAGAAGAACCATAAGTGCATGATTTTATAATTATAAAACAAACACACAGGTAGCTACCACCTGTGTCAGGAAACAACACTGCCAAAACCAAAAGTCCCCATGTGTCCGTTCCTGACCATAAGAGCTAGCCCCGCCCCCAACCCAGGAAATCAGTCAATCTCTCTCTTTCTGTGGTGCCAGGGATTGAACCCAGGGCTCCTACATGCTAGGCAGGCACCCTTCCACCGACCTACAGCCCAGCCCTTCTTATTTCTTCATCTTATTGCGTTTCTGGTTTTTGTTGTTGTTTTTGAACCCAGTTCAATCCCCAGTACCACTAAGCTACATCCCCAGAACTTTTTAATTTTTAAAAATATTTTAGTTGCAGGTGGACACAATAATCTTTATTTTTTTGTGGTGTTGAGGATCAAACCCAGTGCCTCACGTGTGCTAGGCAAGTACTCTATTGCTAAGCCCCATCCCCAGACCTTTTTAACTTTTTTTTTTTAGTATCGTTTTAGTTGTAGAGGGACACACATATCTTTGTTTATTAATTTATTTTTTATGTGGTGCTGAGGCTTGAACCAGTGCCTCACACATGCTAGGCAAGAGCTCTGCCACTGAGCTATGGCGCCAACCCTTTTTTAACATTTTTATTTTGAGACAGGGTCTTGCTAATTTGCTGAGGCTGGCCTTCAATTTGTGATCCTCCTGCCTCAGTCTTTTAAGTCACTGGGACTACAGAAGTGCTCCATCACGCCTGGGTCTCCTTGCTCTTTCTGCTCAACAGTTTGCAAGATCACTTCACTGCAATATAGTATTCCATTGAATGGTACTCCAGTTGAGCCATCCATTCCTCTGCTGATGGACATTACATGACTTCCATAGTTGGCCACTGTACACAGTGTACTGTACATGGCATGGGCTACTCTAGGGCCCACATGCCTGGTGGGACTTCTGGATCACATGGTGTGCATATCTTCAACTTTACTAGGTAATGCCCAACTTTTACAGAGTGGCCATGCTAGTCGATAGTCCTAGCAGCAGTGTCTGAGGCTCTGGTTGCTCCACATGCTCAGTTGCTCTCCACACTATCTGCAGGTTTACATGTAGTTTTACAGTGTCAGCACGTTTTCCTTACCATCTAATTTCCTCCTTTTTTTCTTATTAGGTATTGGATGCTCACCATAATTTATTAAACATGTAATTTAGAGAACATAACCCTTGATTAACTTTTAGTTTTTTTTCCTCCAACAAGCTTCTCTCTCTCTCTCTCTCTCTCTCACACACAGACACACACACTTTTTCTTTTGAGGTGCTGAGGATGGAATCCAGGGCTTCATGCATGCTAGGCAAGTGTCCTATAACCGAGCATACCAACCCTTTTTAAAGTTTATTTTGAAACAGGGTCTCACTAAATTGCTCAGGTTGGCTTCTAATTCATGATCCTGCCTCAGCCTTGAGTAACTAGGATTACATGTGTGCACCACTGTCCGCAGCCTCCCATTTTTTTCTTTTTGGTACAGGATTGAACCATGGGAGCTTTACCACTAAGATACATCCCCCGCCCTTTTATATTATGAGATAGGGCCTCACTAAATTGCTGAGGCTGGCTTTGAACTTGTGATCCTTCTGCCTCAGCCTCTCAATCTGCTGGGATTACAGGTGTGTGCCATGGTGCTAGGCCTGTTATTTTTTTTTTATTTAAGAAAAGTTGAAATTATAAAAGCAATACTTATTTGCTGTAAAAATTCATATAGAGCTGGGGATACAGCTGTTGGTAGAGTGCCTACCTTACATGCACAAGGCCCTAGGTTTGATCCCCAGCATCACACAAAAAAGTTCATATAATGCTATCTGAGCAGAAAAGTCTCCCATTTCATTCCCCAGAAATGATCACTGTTAATGATCATCACTGTTAATGATGATTTTTTCCATCATGAAAATACAAACATATATTTGTGGGGGAGGAGGTGGACATTTTTCCATATAGGATCTAGAGATTCTTTTTTTTTTTTTTTAATTGACTTGCAAATGGGGCTGGGGCTGTAGCTCAGAGGTAGAGCACTTGCCTAGCATGTGTGAGGCACTGGGTTCGATCCTCAGCACCACATAAAAATAAAATATTGTGTTCACCTAAAACTAAAAAATAAATATAAAAAAATAAAAATAAATTTAGTTGCAAATGGACACAATACCTATATTTATTTTTCTGTGGTGCTGGGGCTCAAACCCAGTGCCTCCCACACACTAGGCAAATACTCTACCCATGAGCCACAGTCCAGCCCAGGACCTAGGGATTCTACCATAACAGCCCATTGTGTGGCTGGACCATATGTTACTTTTCCAGTACCCTATTCCTAAAGTATTTTAGTTTCCTCTGATTTCTACTTAATCAAATAAGGGTGTACATATGTGTGTCTGTGTGTGTGTATGTGTATTATTATTATTATTGGTGTTGGGGATTGAACCCAGGGGTGCTCTACAACTGAGCTACATTCTTGGTCCTTTTATTTTATTTTAATACAGAGTCTCGCCAAACTGCTGACACTGGCCTTAAGCATCTGATCCTCCTTGCCTCAGCCTCCTTAGTCACTGGGATTACAGTTGTGTACAGGTATATGCCCAGCCCCGGTTTCCATTTCTAACTGGATTGAAAAATAGATACCTTTAAAATTTTCATAGGTTCTTCCAATTGTCCCCCAAAAGACTGTACAATTCATCCCACACCAGTAGAAAGTATAAGGGTGCTCTGCACTCCTTGGTCAATGTTGAGTACCAACATGCTGTTAAGATTACATGTGATATCTTGTTATTTTAATTGCCATTTGTTTTATAGGGCTTATTTATTCATCTGGGAGTCTCCAATTAGATTTTTTTTCCATTTAAAAAAAATGGGGTAGAACACTTGCTTAACACATCACATAAAAAAATGAATAAATAAGGGCTAGGGTTGTGGCTCAGTGGTAGAGTGCTTGTCTAGCATGCATGAGGCACTGGGTTTGATCCCTGGCACCACATAAAAAAATAAAAAACAAATAAAATGAAGGTATTGTGTCCATCTACAACTAAAAATATAAAAATAAAATAAAATAATTTAAAACAAGAATAAATAAAAAATAAGGTTAAAAATATTTTTAAAAATATACATCCCAGCCAGGTGCAATGGCACACACTTGTATTCCCAACAAGGCAGGAGGCTGAGGCAGGAGAATCACAAACTCAAGGCCAGCCTCAGTCACTGAGCAAGAGCCTGTCCCAAAATAAAAAATAAAAAGGGTTGGGGATGTGGCTCAGTGACAAAGGGCCTGCTTTCAATCCCCAGTACAAAAAGAAAAGACATTTCTTTTTATCTGATTATCAAATTGATCTTAATGTAGAAAGAACAATCACTGTGAAGGCTGGAGAAGTGGGTGTTCTCATCCCTGCAGAGGGTGTGTCCCCACACTGGCCTTTCTGGGGAACAATGTGGCAACACATGCCAGATGCTTAAAAACACGTACACACATTGCCTGTGCAATTCTACTCTAGAAATACATTATGATGGGCTGGGGATGTGGCTCAAGTGGTAGCGCGCTCGCCTGGCATGCGTGCGGCCCGGGTTCGATCCTCAGCACCACATACAAATGAAGATATTGTGTCTGCCGAGAACTAAGAAAAAATAAATAAATGTTAAAATTCTCTCTCTCTCTCTCTCTGTACCCCTCTCTCTCTCACTCTCTCTTAAAAAAAAAAAAGAAATACATTATGATGATAATCAATTAAGTGAAAAGTAAAAGATTAAAAAGCAACCTAAATTTTCCACCATGGGGACCTGACTCAATAATTTGGCAGAGCCCTAACTTGCAAGCCTGTGGTATGGGGCTCAGCCATCGCCTCAATGCTCCCTTAGAGGCCATGGCTGAGTGGTCATTCTGTGGAAAAGGACAGTGGGTACACCATGTTGGGGTCAACAATTATAAAACTGAATTGTCAGAGCCAGCTGTATCTGGAGCTTGGAGCAGACTATGAATGATTTTCAATTTCTAGACAATTCAGTCTTGTATTATTTGAGGTATTTTGTTTTTAGCTTTTTTTTTGTTTTGTTTTTGGTACTGGAGATTAAACACTAGGGTTCTGTACCACTGAGCTACATTCCCAGTTCTTTTTATTTTGCTAAGTTGCCTAGGCAACCCTTGAATTTGGAATCTTCCTGCCTCAGCCTTCCGAGTTGCTGGGATTACAGGTGTGTACCACTATGTCCAGCAAAGATTTAATCATTTTTTTTTTTGGCATTAGATATCTTACTTTTTAATAAGAAAAGAGACAGTATTTTAAAAAATTGTGCTAGAGGGCTGGGGATGTGGCTCAAGCAGTAGCACGCTCGCCTGGCATGTGTGGGCCCAGGTTCGATCCTCAGCACCACATACAAAGATGTTGTGTCTGCCGAAAACTAAAAAATAAATATTCTTTCTCTCTCTTTCTCTCTAAAAAAAAAAGATGTTGTGTCCACTGAAAACTAAAAAAATAAATATTAAAAAATTCTCTCTTTAAAAAAAAAAATTATGCTGGATGTGGTGGCAAAGGCTTATAATCCCAGGAAGCTGAGACAGGAGCATCCCAAGTTCAAGCAACTTATCGAGACTATCTCAAGATGAAAAAAGAGGGCTGGGAGTATAATGTAGCTTGATGGTAGAATGCAGGTTCAATCCCTAGTATCCCTCCCAAACTTTTTTGTGGGCTGGGGATGGGATGTAGGTTCAATGGTAGAGTACTTGCTTATGTGCAAGGCCCCAAGTTTGATCCCAAGTACCAGGAAAAAAAAAAAACAAACTGTTAGGGTTGGGGATTTGGCTAGTTAGTGGTAGAGCATTTACATAGCATCACAAGGCCCTGGGTTCCATCACACTCACACAAACATACACACTCTCTCTCTTTTCTCTCTCTCTCTCTCATACACACACACACACACACACACACACACACACACACACACACAAATGTGTTACAAGAGATGTTTGCTGACATGAGAGATGCTCACATTCATAAGACACTGTTAATGTAAACATTCATATTTTATGAATAGTACAGAGAATTTTGAAAATTACCCCATTTACTAAACACACATCCACAGACTAAAACACAGAACAATATGTATCCATTGGCAATGGTGATTATCTCTGGGTGGTGGGATTAGGGAAGATATTTATTTTATTTTTTTTTAACCTCTGTGACTATAATTGTTGTATGGTGAAAAATTTTATTACTTTTATAAGAGAAATAGCTACTAGAAAGAATACATCAAGACAGAGTGTGCTGGGGCAGAGGGGCAGAAACAGCAGGCCTGAGGCCCCCAGGCAGGAGGCCAGGATCCTTGGGCTCCATGTGGAGCAAAGTGACTGAGGGTAGACACTGTGGGTCATGGACCACTGATGGGGCTGTGTTCTGGCGAACCTGAGTGCCAGATCCAGGAGTCAGAGAGGGTCGCCCTGGGAAGGGGATCTGGGAAGGAGGCACACAGAGCCAGGTAAGGAAGCACTGTGTCTGGGCCCAGGGGACAGGAAAGGGATGCCTAGGCCAGGATGTGTGGGCTGTGGTGGGCAGGGGGCTCACCGTCACCTCCTGGTAGGATTCCATGCCATTCAGCACCACCTGGATGACCTGCCGGCGCAGCTTGACACTCTGCTCTGAGCGATATTCGGAATTGGTCAGGTAGAAGAGTGCAGCGCTGCCTGTCACCTGAATGTTCTTGTCATATTTGTGGCACTTGAGGGCAGTGATGACCAGCTGTGTTAAGACAGGGTGGGGCATGGGTTGGAAGAGCTGTGAGAGTTGCGACAGGTGGGCACTAGAGGGGCTTGGCAGCTCCTCTGGGGCAGGCAGGCCTAGGGAGGGGGTTGGGGGGAGGGCAGGGCCTGGAAGAGGCCAGGGGGAAGCAAGGCAGGCACTGTGGGGGGGGTTGGGGTTCAGAAGGGTGACTGGCTGCTCCCTGGGGATGCGCAGGGTCTAGAGTTTGGGGCTGACCTTCAGGGCCCTCAGAAGCTGATTGCAGCGTTCAATTCGTGCAATGTCAAAAAGCAGGTTGATGGCCCGCGAGGTGATCTCAGGCCGGTGCTCCGTATAGGCCTCGATGGCATTCAGCACCTGCTCCTCATTTTTGTCACCACTTACCTGGGGATGGGGTATGCTTAGGACAAGCCAGAGGAGGCCAGGGTGGGACCCCAGATCCCAGCTTGGTTTCTGGCCCCAGACACTGCCATGCCCCACCCAGGGCTTCCCTTCTCCCAGAGCTCCCCCTCTCCCATGCACCCTCCACTCCCGCCTCTCACTTTGTAGGCGGGAATGTGTGTGAGGCGACACAGGGAGGTCTCAAAGAGCCCGAGGAACTGCAGTGGCCTCTTCAGAGCCCGGAAAGGCATGATGCTGCTCTTGGAAGGCTCGATGCTGGGAAAGAGTGTACTGGGATCAGTGGCTTGGGGCCTGACCTGGGCCTCTCCCCAAGAGTAGCTAGGCATCTAATTAACGTTCTCTCTTCTAGGCACTCCAGACACTTCCTTTTTAAGTTTTTTTTTTCTCCCTTTTAAGGGTTGGGGACATAGACCCCACCTCTTTTTTTTTAATACCTTTATTTATTTATTTTTATGTGGTGCTGAGGATTGAACCCAGTGCCTCTACCACTGAGCTACAACCCCAGACCTAGACCCCACCACTTGATTGAAGGGTGGCAAGGTCCCACTGTAGCAGAATATGTGGGACAGAAGGTATTGTTACAGCCATCCTTAGAATATACCAACTGCCATCTAGTCAAGCTGTGCTGTCCTTAGGGTTTACCCTCAATAGCAAAGGGACAAGCTCATCAGGCAAACACCAGCTAGCTGGAACTGGCCACAAGCCAAAGCTAATTACAGGTGGCTGGGTTTGAAGAGACCTCTCCATCAAGCTACCCAGGCACCAACGCCTCTCCAGAGACACCTGATGGGGGCAGATCCTGCAGCCTCCTCTCTTGCCGTCTCTTATCACACTGTGCCCTCCCTCAGAACAGCTGGCGACTTTCTGGTCTCTCATGCTCTTGGCTGCAGCCTCAGCACACACTGACCCCTCTGCTGGGAAACTTCTCCTTTGGCAAACTCAGAAACTGGTAAACCCATTTCTCCTTCTCTCTCTTTCTTGACCCTCAGGGCCATAGTCCTCCAAATGTCTGTCCTCACTGACTCACAGACCAGAGTGGGCAGGTCTGATTTGCTTCTTCATCCCAGCGCCCAGCACAGCCCTTGGCGGAGGGGCCCTTGGTAAGTGCTTGGTGATCAGCTCCTGACCAGCAACCGCAGAGGTGGGTCCTACCTGGTCTGCCCGGCTTCCTCGTCCATCTTGGAAATGCTGCAGTTCTCTAGGATCATGTGACCAGAGATGTCCAGAGACATTAGGTTCCCAAGCTTTTGTACAAAGAGGCTCAGCACCTTCCGGGTCAGCTTGAACTTGTAGTAGCTGGAGAGACGGTCTCGGGAGATGTCTAGGTGTCTGGATATTGGTGGGGGGGCGCTAGGTCAGGACCCTTACTCCTTCAGTCCACAGCAGGGGAGGGCCCATGCCTGCCACAACTACTCCAGGTCATTTTGGGAAAAACCTGAGGGGACCCAGGTGCCCTCAGCAGTCCTCATCTGACTGAAACACTGGGCTGAGTTTAAGAAACCAAGTGGCTCTTGCATCCCCACCCTGGGTTTAGTCAGGGGCCCCTGAACCCTCCAGGATTGACACCACCCTCGTCCCCTCTGCCCTGCCCAGGGAGCTCAGGCCAGCAGCTCACCGCAGCTTGTGCAGCTGGACAATGACACGGATGTGGTCATCTGAAAGGTCCATGTTGTAGAGCACAAGGGACACCAGGCTGTCCTTCCACTGGGTTAGGAAGGCAGCGTCACTTGTCTGAATGCCTGAGAGGTCCAAGGCGGCCAGAGAGTTGAGCGGCCGTAGCAGTGACTCCACAGGGACCCCATCGATCATGCGGCCCAGGTTGAGGAAGCGCAGGCGGCTAAAGCCCTCGAAGGTGAAGTCCTTCACCAGCACCTGGCAGGTGGGGTTGACGAGGCACTCGTCTTCACAGCCCCCGGGGTTCTCCTCCTCGTAGAAAATGTTGGCGCAGCCAAAGAGGCTCAAGGACACCAGGGTGTGGCTGAAACTCCGCAATGTCTGCAGGCTCTTGGCGGACAGCTTCTCACAATTGGTCAGGTACAGCTCAACCAGGTCCTGGGATCAGGCACAGCTTCGTCAACACTAACACCCACCCCTGCCTGCGCCTTGCCCTGACCTCCAGGTGACTGGGGAGGGGCTCACACAGTGGAAAGGGCACCCGGATCTGTCTCTGCCTTTGTCTGACTCTCTCAGCCAACTTCCCCTATCCGTGACCAGTGCCCTGATGAGAACAGTCTTACCTGCTTGCGAATGGCCTCCAGATCCTGGTCCTGCACCAGGTCCTCACGGAGGTGGATCCGGGTGAGGCGGGTACTGCGGGGGTCAGAGAAGAGGCTGAAGAAGCTCTCGTGTGGCTCGAAGGTGCAGGCGGTATTGACCAGCTCCACATACCTGGGAAGAAGAAAACCTGGCTCCAAGAAGGGCCCAGGACCCAGGGCCTCCTTCAGAACACAGCTCTTCTCTCCAAAAAGACTGGCAGAATCGCCCTAGCGGCCGCCGCTGCCCCGGCCGCCGTCTCCTCCTCCTCCTACTCCTCCTACTCCTCTTCCTCCTCCTCCTCCTCTTCAACCTGGCTCCATCCTGACTGCATTACAGGTGAGACTGAAGATGCCCCAGAAACCAGAGGTCTAATGGTAGCTCTCAAGGTAACCTGGTGATGCAGGGGCTTCAATCAACACAAAATCCCAAGCTCTTCCTCCCAGAAGCCTAAGCAACACCCCACCAAACAGATACCTGTACCACCTCCCCCAAAGGACACCTGCCTTCACCTGCAGGCCTTCCCAAGACCTTTCAAACAAGTGGATGAAACCAAGGGGTTTGGAGTTCCCAGCTGGGCACAGGGCAAACCCTTAGTAAGAGCCTACAGAGGCATCAGCCCATACCAGAATCCTGGGCTGCTGGAGGGGTCTGGGGCTCAATGCTCTGAATCTAAATCCTGGCCTGCTGGCTCCCTACCTGGGAAAGTTCATATAAATAACTGAACTTCCCTGCACCTCTGTTTCTTTATCTGTAAAATTAAAAGTAACTCTGGTCGGCAAAGTGACCAACCATGCCTGACCCACATTTTGCCCTCAGGACATCATTATGAGTCCAGCTCTATCCTCAGTTCCCACACAGTTCCCATTTTGCTATCCAACTCTTTGGTCTAACTATTCCCCTTCAGGAAATTTCCTTCAGTGCAAGCAAGCTTCCTGGTTGAGCTATATCTGCCTCTAGGAGCACAGAGCAATGGAGAGTCCCTTAAGGGGCTACATAAAGATTTTCTGGCCCTGCGCAGTGGTGCATGCCTGTAATCCTGGCAGCTCAGGAGGGCTGAGGCAAGATCTCAAGTTCAAAGCTAGCCTCAGAAATTTAGGAAGGCCCTAAGCAACTTAATGAGACCCTGTCTCAAAATTTAAAAAAATAAAAAAGGGCTGGGGATGTGACTCAGTGGTTAGGTACCCTTGGGTTCAATCCCTGGTACAAAACAAACAAACAACAAAACAAAACAAAACCTTCTGGATGGTTTCATCTCTGGCCATGGATCCATTATTGTAGTAGCAGCCCATCAACCCATGTGTCCGTGTTCACTTAATTCACAGGTGCAGACACCCATAGAAGTACACACACACGGGTATACACACACATAACTCCTTCATTTACACGCAGGCTCTTAACCCCATCTCATCCCTAAATGTACACATGCAATTTCATACCACATATGTATAAACACCCATTTCTTCATGTGCACATCCCTGTATATACACATACCAACATGCACACATGCAAACTCTTACGCTTACGGATACAACACCATTCTCCTGCACCCACATGGTCCTAATATCTCTGCACAAACTCATGCTAAGACCCCCACCCTGTCCCAGCCCTGAGGCTTGCTCACTCATTGACCAGCCGGTCACAGATCTCGCTGGGCAAGAAGATGTCTGGATGTAGCCGCAGGGTCTCCTTATCCAGCAGGTAGCCCAGGGTGCCATCCAGGTTGCGTAGGCAGAAGTCAGTACAGAGGGTCATCAGGGACTCGGGCGTATCAGACGCCATGCTGGGAGCAGGCAGGTGGCCACTCCAGGACAAGGGCCCCAAGGGCAACAGTGACTCCCCAGTACTCAAGGGATCATTGGCAGAGCTACAGCCTGGGGAATGGGAAAGAAGCCAAGTGAACCATAGATAAGGGTCAGAAGCATCAGCTGCCCTATGTCCATTCTTTGAGTAGGGAAACAGGCCCCCGACATCACACTCAAATTAGCAGGTTGGTAGCACTAGGCCCAGGACTCTTGATTCCCTCTTTTACCCATCTCTGCTGTGCCACAATCTATGTACAATCTGACCTTCAAAGAATGGGGGCCTTGGGCTGGGCTTGTGGCTCAGTGGTAGAGAGTTCGCCTAGCATGTATGAGGCACTGGGTTTGATCCTCAGCACCATGTAAAAATGAAATAAAGATACTGTGTCCACCTACATCTAAAAAAATAAATATTTAGGAAAAAAAAAAAAGAATGGGGGCCTTGTCCAACTGTTTCCTTGATTTTCACAATGCCTATGGGTGGACATCTGTGTTGAGGACCACTGCTTGGGAGGGAATAACAGGGACCTTCACCATCTGCTTCTCAAGACCCTAACTGCTACAGCAAGGTGACCTGTGTTGTGGGGTCCTTCCTCATCTGTGTAGAGTTTCCTCTGTGGAGAACAGTGCCAGGGCTTCACAGACACAATATCTTCAAATCTCATGGTATATGACTAAAAATGGAGGTGCCTCTCAAGGGAAATAAAAATATACATTGATGTCAAAACTTGTACATGAATGTTCATAGAAGCATTATTTGTAGTAACCAAAAGATGGAAACAACTCAAATGATATCAACTGATGAAGGGATGAACAAAATGTGGTTCATCCACAAAAGGCTGAATATCACTGAGCCATAAAAAGCTGAATATTATTCATTCACAAAAATACTGATGTAGCATTGGACCTTGAAAGTGTTATGCTAAAGTCAGGTGTGGTGGTGCATACCTGTGATCCCAGCTGCTTGGGAGGCTGAGGCAAGTTCAAGGCCAGCCTGAGCAACTTAGTGAGACTCTGTTTCAAAATAAAGAGTAAGAAGGGCTGGGGATGTAACTCAGTGGTAAAGCACCCCGAGTTCAATCTCCAGAACCAGAAGAGAAAACAACATCACTACCACTGGCCGGCAGTACCTAGCATTGGCCAAGACATGCAACAACGGAAGTCCACTGTTAGTGGGAGTGTAAATCAGTGTGCATGGGGAGTGCAACGAAACACTGTTTTAACACTTTACTGAAGCTGAATATACATATGTTCAAGGTTCAGCAATTTTGCTCCTAGGTAGATAACCAAAGAGATGAACATTTATATATGAACATTCACAGCCACAGCACCATGAAATGGCCCCAAACAGAAAAGGACCTGGATGTCACTGAGATTGAGATAATATTGCATATTCACCAGATGAACTGCACTGCCATGAGAATCACAATCTAATTAATAGCTTGAATGGACCACACAAGTAAAGCAGCTGGACACAAAAGTATACATTATATCAATCCATTTAGGTATCACTCCTTTAAATTCAAAACCACAATCTAATCTGTGGTTCCTTGGATGGGAAGGGTGACTGGAAGCGGGTTTCTTTTCCTTTTCTTTTTTGCTTTGTTTTGTTTTTGGTCCTTTTCTTTTTTGTTTTATTTTTGGTACTGGGAACTGAACCCAGGAGAGCGTCACACTGAGTCACATCCCCAGCCCCTTATTTTTTATTTTGAGACAGGGCCTTACTAAATTGTGAGGATGGCCTTGAACTTGCAATACTCTGGAAGAGGGTTTCTATGGTGCTGATGAGCTTGTAGCCTTTTATTTGAGTGCTGGATACAGACATATTCACTTTGAATATCCCTGAAGCTATATATCATTCTGTGCGCACTTTTTCAAATGTATAATTCAATATAAAGGTAAGAAAATGGTCTGGACACCAAAAAGGCATATGCTTAGAAGGGCAGGAGGCCTCGTGCACACCTGTAAACTCAGCAACTCACAAGGCTCAAGCAGGAGGATTACAAGTTTGAGGCCAGTCTCAGCAACTTAGCGAGGCCCTGTCTCGAAATAAAAAATAAAAAGGGCTGAGGATGTAGATCACTGGTAAAGTACCTCTGGTTTCAATCCCTAGTACCAAAAAAAAAAAAGGAAAAAAAATGGAGAGGAGTTGGTCAAGTGATAATCTAGCTAATAATGTACTGATCACCACTAGAGACTGAACAGTCACATTTAAATTGGTTGAACAAGAACAATTTCTAGCCAGGCATGTCGGTACATGCCTGTAGTCACAGCCATTCAGGAGGCAGAAGTGGGAGGATTGCTTGAGCCCAGGAGTTCAAGGCCAGCCTGGGCAACATAGTAAGAGATCCCTCCTCCCATAAAAAATAAAAAAAAAGAAAGAAAAAATTTCTAGGGGCTGGGGCTATGGCTCAGTGGTAGAGCACTTGCCTGGCATGGGTGAGGCACTGGGTTCGATCCTTAGCACCACAGAAAAATAAATAAATAAAACAAAGGTATTGTCCATCAACAATTTAAAAAAAAAATTAAAAAAAAAAAAGAAAGAAAATTTCTAGAACCTAGGACAGTCAGGAGTTAAACCCTAACCAATATTTTCCTATTAAGGTCTGTATCAAAGAGGAGGAAATATACAAGCAAAAGTAGTCTACAGTATTAGAAGTCAGGGTAGTATCTACCTTTAAAGGCAAGCAGGAATTAGGTGACAGAGTGGCTTCTGGGACAAGTGTGTTCGCTTATGGAAATCCATCAAACTCTGCACTCACATTTTGTGTGCCTTTTATTATGCATGTTACACAGTGGGCTGTCTGTATCCAGGGGTTCTACTTCCACAGATTCAATCAAACGTGAATCAAAAAAATATATTTTTTTTAATTGTCTGTACTGCATGGAACTTCTACAGACTTTATTCATGTCATTATTCCCCATGTAAGACAGTGTAACTACTTACTCAGCAGGTGCATTGTAGTATATATCATAAGTAATCTAGAGATGTTTTAGAGTACACGTGAGGATGTGTATAGGCTTTCCACAAATGTTATACCATTTTATGTAAGGGACGTGGGCATCTTGGTATCCAAGAGGGGTCCTGGAAGCAGTCTCTGATGAACACTGAGAGATGACTATTTTAAACAAGTTTTTAGGGTGTTAGGGGTACAGTGAATGAGGACCTGGGTTTGATCTTCATTATTCCCAAAAACGTTTTTAAAAAACGGCAGGTTCTGTGGTCAGACAGATCAATGCTTTAACTCCAAAATTTACTAGTGACTTATTTAACCTCTCCAGACCTGTTTCCTCAGGGCTATAGAGCAAATGAGACAATGCTGGGGACATGTGTAGTACCAGCTTGATGCAAACAGAACACAACAAATGCTGGTTACAACCCCTGTCACAGATGGGGAAACTCAAGCTCGGAGACAGAGGCCACTGTACAAACGGAGGCTGCAATGCATTGTGGGCTCTGCAGCCAGCAGCTCTGAGCTCAAGCGCAGCACCACCACTCACCAGTGACCAAGCTGGACAAGTGAAGTTGGGTGGACCCAGCTCCAAGTCTCAGCTCTGACACATAAGAGCAGATGGATCTGAGCAAGGGTCTTCCCCTCTCTGTGCTTCAGGGTCTTTTTCTATAAAATAGGGTCACAGTCCCCTACCCATAGTACCGCATAAAGATTACGTGGAATAATACAGACAGGACCTTGCATGGTGGCTGCAGGTAGTAATTACTCGATAAAAGAAAATCATCCTTATCATTATCATCTTCGCCGTCTCCTACGCCATCTGCCTGGCCTCCACACAGAGCAGGGTCTGTCCCAGCCCAGCTCCAGTCTGGGCCTGCCAGGCCTGGGCCTCCCACAAGGCCCATTGTTGTGTCAGCTGCCCCATTGGCAATGTGACACCCTTAGGAAAGGCACCAGAAGTGGGCTGCCTGGATCCCAGGCATGTCCATCCTCTGCCTTCATTGGTTTCTGGATCTTCAGGACCCAGCAGCTCTCCACTGGGAGCCTGGAACCAGGAGGCCCCACCCTGCTGGGAACCAGCAGGTCCAACTCTTCCAGCAGTCACTTAAGGCCTCTGGAATTAGAACCAGCTCTCTGCCTTGCTCAGTTCCCTCTGACCCCCGACTCTGGTCAGTCTGGCCTCCTTCACTGGACTGGCAAGACACCCTAGACCCAGGTCACCTTCAGACCTTTGCTCAGTCTATTCTCTTTCAACAGAAGCCATCCAAATTTAACTCATTATGCCACTTTCTACTCTAAATACTGTTTCTCTACCCTCCATCTACATACACATTCATGTCCTCCCTTCAGAAAGCATCTCCTGACCACGCCAGCCCATCCTACCTCCAAACTCACTTCTTATTTAGCTGATCCTATAACCCAGTGCCAAGGGTACTTACTTTGCAAAGCCATCCCTGACCTGGCAGGGTGCTCCTGCTGCGCATCCTCCGTGGGCCCTGCCCCAAAGCTAGATGAGTCTAATCATTTAGTTTCCTTGGCAGACAGCAGCTCATGAGGGTAGGAAGTCAGCAGCCTGTTTGGCACCATGTCCCTGGGCCTGTGCACCCAGCAACTCTCTCCTGAGTGCTATGGATCCAATAGTAAGCAAACCAGGCCAGATCCTTACCCTCCTGGGACGTTCTAGCTCTGAGGGGATAGACATCCACCTAGGAAGTACATGAATGCACCTCACACAAGTAGACCAGTGTTCTGAAGGCCAGTGTTCTGAGGCTCTGCGGGACTAACTAGGGGCCCTGCTCTAGGCTGGGGAATCATGGCAGGCTCCTTTGGAAGTCACAATTCAGCTCAAAAGATGAGTCCTAGTTAATTCTGGTAGTGAGAAAAGAAGAGAAAGGTGTTCTAAGAAGAAGGAACAGATGAGCACAGGCTAGAAGCGGGGGTTGCAGGGTTGATGCCATGGGCTCAGGCCCAGGACTGCTGGCTAAATGAACAAGGGTGGCACTGGACACCCAATGCGGGGCCTGATACCCAGGACAGTCTCAACAAGTCTTTATGGCAGCAGCGATGAAGGCCTCAAAGTCTGAGTCCCATGAAGTTGGGAAAGGGTCCACTGCGCCCAGGACCCTGCTGGCCGCTCAGTGGCTGCAGGTGGAGCCTAGCGCCTGAGTGGGAAGAGCTGCAGGGGCTCTTCTTTCCTGAAGGTCTGATCTCAGGTGCCCTTCCCCCATGTGGAGGAAACACCACCACGTCTATTGCCCAGGCCACCAAAAGCCCCCAAGGACAACCCTGGCCGAAGGTGCCATCTGCTAACCTCCCTTTGGCAGTGCTAACCCAGCTGCCAGGGGCCAGGGTAGGCTGGAAGAGGAAGAAGCCTTTCTCATCTTGGCACAGAGGCTGGCAGGCCTGAGGGCTGGAACACCCTGCCACTTGTGCCCCAGCTAGCTGCAGGTCTGGCACCTGCTAGAGGCAGCCATCTCCACCTACTCCATCTCCTGGGGCCTTAGGGATCCTCATTCTCATGGCAGGCACTGGCCAGGTGGAATTCTATGCTTTTGTCAGTCCCTTTTTCTTGCAGATTTTCTAAAACTGGATCCATCACAAGCTTAAAAAATTCTGGGGGAAAGGGACAGTGGGAGAGAAGAGAAAAATAACAGTGACAGTGCCAGCAGCGGCAATAGCAGCTGCCACCTTGCCTCCATGTTGGGCGCTCCAGACTGGTACTAAGCTCTTTATAGGCTTTACTTTGTATAGTCTCTTATTTAACCAACAAAACAACAGGTCCCAGTGCCCAGTACTTGGAGTGAATTCATCATTTGCATAACAATTTGTCTATGACCCCTCCCCCAGTCCAGCTCCAGAGATGGGGACTGTCTCCTCCCTGCACATCCTCTGTACCCTCCCTGCGGCTTGTGCCTGGCATCTAGCAGAGCACAGGATGCTGTGTGGGAATCTCCTCACAGGAGATCTACTAGGCTGGGACCGCTAGCCCATTTGCTGATAAGTTTGCCAGGCGCACACACTAATCCAGAGCTGGCCTGAGATCCTGGAACAGGGTGGGATACAAACCTATGCCAGACTCTAGCTTCTCACCAACCACTGGCTCTTTGGTCCACCCATCTAACCAAGAGAGGGGAAAGACAACTGAGGACCGGAGGAGGGGGCAAGGGACCCCATCAGCATCCTGATTCTCAGGGGACAGAGAAGCTGAGGGAGCCAGAAACTCTGATTCTTGGAGCAGCGCCCACCCTGTGAAATATTAACCCGTGAGCTGGTGGGGGGACCCAGACAAATGCCCTATTTACAGAGGCTGGAGGCTTGCCAGGAGGGAGTAACTCATGGGCCAGAGATTGGGGGTGGGATGCTGCTAGGAAGGCAGTCAGGACAAATGCCAGGGATCTCCAGGGGCAGGGGTATAGTGAGGATCAGAGATCACCTGGCCTGAAAGGTCTCCAGGAACTAAATTCACAGGGCAGGTTACTGTAGGAAGATGCAGAAATGAAAGGAGGGAGGAATGCGTATCCCCACTAGGTGGCTACTGGTACCTCCTCTTCTGATAACTAAGCAATTAACAAATACTGTGAAAAAGAGAGAGGCAGGCCTTTGGGGTGCTAGGCTAGGCTAGGAATCAGACTGCCTGGACTCTCTTCTAGCAATCAAACTAATTAATGATCACACTCATATGGAGTACAAAGTACACGCCAAGGACTCTGCTCACCATTGATATAAGTTACCTCTCTTCATTCTCTCAACCCCATTCGAGGCAGGAGTTGTTGTTTTAGTTTACGATTGATAGGTGCAGCAGCTGAGGCTGAGTGGCCACATAGACTGCGACAGACCACGCATGTGGCCCGTGCGTGTGGGCCTACAGACACGAGTACGATGTTCATAGTACAGGCTCAATGCTTCAAGCTTTCTAGGGTCGTTATCACCAATGCCATAGATAGTCTCTAAGGGGCATGTTATTGTTTTGTTTCCCAGATGAAGATACTATGGCTCAAAGATGTGCGTTAACTTGCACAAGGTCCCCAGCAAGCCAAGCTCATTACTACATGCTACAGGCACAGACTGTTTCTCCCGGCCTTGGCTTCCCTTCTGTGTATGAGCCTCTATCGCATCCTCACAACTCTGCACTTGAGCACTGAGCACAGATGATCGTGTCGTCCTGGCAAGAAGTCCAAGGGCATGTATCATTTTTTTGGTACAGGATTGGAAGTTTTCTGAGGGCAGGGCCCCTACAGGATCCACAGGGTCTCCATTATGCATGGGGGTGGGTGACCAGATACTTGCAGGTGAAGGAGCCTGAACTCTGTGAAGTCCCCCAGCCAATGTGTTCCACACTCAATATTGATCATAGTCCTTACCTGTTAAGGTGTGTTGTGAACTGCACCTGCCTCATGGGGTTGCTGAGGAGATGTCATGAAATACTGGCAGGAAGATGGTAATGAATAATTATAATGAGTGAGGTTCCTGAGCACACTCTTAGAGAGACCCTTCTGCTCACCTCTGAAACTGAAAAACCAGCCTCATTGATTGAACCAGATATGATGACATTGGTCCCAAAATAGATGACTCAACAGGGGTCTCTGAATTCACATTTCAGGAGTTGAGAACAGCAGTGGTGCTAAAGCCAAGCAAAAAACCTGAGGGCTAAGAGCATCCCTCTGCCCAAGGGGCTCCCAGGACATTTCTGCAGAATCCTCGTGATACTAATGCAAGAACTGTTCTACTTTAGGAGGATTGAAAGTTCAAGGCCAGCCTGAGCAACTTACTGAGACCCTGTCTCAAAATAAAATTTAAAAAAGGACTAGGATATATCTCAGTGGTAGAGTACTTTCCTAGCTTGTGTGAGGCCCTGGATTCAATCCCAGTACCACACACATGTGCATGCACATGCACACAAACACACACACACATATCAAAAAAAAAAAAAAAAAGAAAGAAAGAAAGAAAGAAACTGCTCTTCACTTTTGCAGGGAGCTTTGGAGGGCACCTAATTCTTTTCTGACCTTTGTCTTACTTCATCTTCCCAGTAACCTTCAGAGTCAGCCAGAATAGGAGGGCATTATTCTCCGTGTACAGATAGAAAACTGAAGCCCAGAGAGGGGATGGGACTTGTTCAAGTATACATGGGAAGCTGGCAGCAGAGCTACGGTATACACCCAGATCCTCGGGTCCCTAGTCTGGATCTCCAGTCACAACAGCCTGCTCTAACATGTGGGCTCCCAGCTTCTAAGTGCTCTGACCTCTCCATTTCAGTTTCTTCCTATCTTCCTTTCATGGTGCTAGGGATGAAAACCAGGGCCTTACACATGCTAGGCAAGTACTCCACCATTGAGCTACAGTTGCCATGCTCAGCCCAAGGCTCAGACCTGATGCTGCAGCTAGGCTTGGCAGGGAGGAGGGAGAGACAGAGTGGTTCTGAAAGGTTGCGAAGCCTCTGACTCTGCCTCTGCCAGGCCTCTACCTGTAGACTGGCTACCTATACTCCAATGGCATATCTAGGCACAATGCCCTTCACAATCTGCCTCCAAGTGCCATTCACTTTTGACAACATAATTTTGCTTCTATTTCAAAAGTCCCCATCACCTTCCATTGCTACTCACCAATACCAAAAAGCCAGGACCCACCTACCAGCATCCCTGTAGGACACACAACCACTATCACCACTAAGGGGTGTCAGGAAGTTTCTACTGTGTCTCCCCAATATGCCCCCAAATCCTACTAGTTCTGGGGAGCATACAGAGCTGGTGGAAACTACCAGCTGGTGCTAAAAAGAAAGGCTCTGCAACAGACACAAGCACAGACAATTCCTCATTGTCATGTCATCCACATCATCATCAACTGCTACATATTAAGGACTGCTATGTGCCAAATACTTCAGCAATGCTCTCATTTAACTCAACTGCCCTATTTTACAGATGAGAAGACTGAGGCAGAGGAAGGTGGCCCACATGCTCACAACCAACAGCATAAATTGACTTGACAATGGTGCTCTATGGGTGTTTTTTGGTATGTGCTTCATCAATGGTTGCTACAAAGATGGGACAAGGGCACTTACAGCACAAGGCCAGAGCACAGTGGTCATTTGTCATCTGAAACAAATCCGTATTTTTTCCAGCACTTCAGTAGCACGGTTCTGAAAGGGAACCCATGAGACACCCTGTGACCCTGCACCACAGAGACAGCTCTGGCATGTGCCCTCCATTATCTGGTTCCAACTTTTCTGTGACTTCCTTGCCAACCACTCTCTCCTTCACCCTTCTCCAGCTCTCTGTTCGCTTGCTGTTTCTTAAACTTACTAAGCACATGACCTCAGGACCTTTGCACCTGCTGCTGAATGTTCTGCACCAGAGAGTGTATTGGCTTACTCTCTTACTCATCTCTGCTCAAATATCACTTTATTAGTGACCTTCCCTGACCACCTTTTATAAAGAGGTGACCCCAGCCTCTGGTTCCCATGGTCCTCCTCCTTTATTTTTCTCCATGACACCTATCACCACCTACATTTTTTACATTTGTTATTTGTTAAATGAACAAAAATAGAGGCCCCTCACCCTTGACAACTGACTCCTGGTCTAAGCATAGCTCCTGTTATCCTTTTCAAATCTATCTCTCATGGTCATTTTAACCAGTTTGAATCCTAAAGAGAAACATTCTGTGGGAAAGATCATACAGAAGGCCTTTCCCCAGGTGTCAGGCATCCTCTTCCCCCTTAAAAACCCAATTAACTCAAAGGCACAGGCAGAGACGGGAAATCTTGGATTCTAGCGGTCAAAGAGCATCCAAATCAAGTTCCACCTATAGAATGATAGTGGCCAGCATGGCCAATTTCACTTTCAGCTCACTACCGGGATTTCCTGGCCTGCAGGTTGAACCCCATCCATCCCTTTCCCACGCTGTTGGATGTCCCTTGTCATCCCTTTGGGAAGCTGATCCAGAATCCAAGCCGTCCCTGAGCTTTTAAGCACTGCTCTGGGGAAAACGAAAGCTCATCCAACAGGTAGGAGGGGCAGAGGCTGGCCTTCTCAGCCCTACATCGATTCCCCCATCTTGCAGGGGCGTCCGACAGAGCGTCATTTTCTTTCTGGACGAAGGGAGCTCAATTTTAAAGGCACATTTTTCGGACCTGGCGGCGAGGGTGGAGAAGGGAGCCCTCCCACCAAGGGCCAAGATAGACCTCTGCAAGGGGTTGCGGCGGCAACGGACAGGCCCCGGAGGCAGGAGGGGAAGGATGAGGACGCAGGTACATCCCTTGGCCTGGGGTCCAGGACCTACCCTGGGATGGGGCTGCCCTCAGCGCTGGGAAGCAGTCAGGATGCTTCGTAGGCGAGGAGGAGCGGAGGTTGGGGCCCGGGAGAATCCGGGGCCAGAGCGCTTCAGGAGGTTGGGGATCTCGTCCGCCTAGGGCCGGGGTCCGGGGCGCCCGGGGGTCGGCGGGGCGGAGCCTGTGATGCTGAGGGCTCGAGACCGGGGCCGGAGCGGGTCACGACAGGGACCCCGTGGCCGTTACCTTGCCCTGGCTGCGGGCAGGGCTGAGGGCCGCCAGGTGCTGCCTCCCGGGGCCAGCCCCTCCCCCGATCCGGTTTCTACGACTCAGAGCGGCCAGCCGCCGCCGCCTCCGCTGTCAACAAACCCTGGGCGCGTCACTTCCGGGGCCGCCCCTTAGCAACAGTGAAGGGGTTCCCCCGACGGGTCCCGCGGCGAACGCGGGCGGCGGCAGCGGAAGGTTCCGGGGCTTGGCGGCGGCTCCTCCCGGGACGCGACCCTGGCTCGCAGTGGAGCAGGGAGCGGTGCGTGGACACCGCGGCTCGGAGTTCGCGTGCTCCGGGGCTCGCCCTGGCCTGCGAGGGGCCGGCTTGCGTGAGCCCAAGGCCCAGGCAGGACTGAGTCCCTGTCTTGTTTAGGGCAGGACTGACTCAGCGCCCCTCTCTCCACGCGGCTCTCCAGAGGTAGCTGACGCCGCACCTCGGGTTAGTGGATGGACCGCGGGCCACCGAGCTTTCAGGTGGAAATGGGACGTCGGCGTTGGTCCCCGCATTTCCTCCAGCCCCCAGGCTGGTCGCCAAGTCCTAAGATTCTCTCCTCCCTCCACCCTGCTACTGCCCACCATCATTGCTTTCCTGGATTTCTGCACAGCTTCCTCTCAGAAGCCCCATAGTCCCAGAGTGCTTTTCCTAAAACGTAAATCGAGATGACAAGGACTTTCATGATCTGTCTCTACCACCTTTTCCAGCCTCTTGTCACCCAGAGTATTCAAAGAATATCCAGAACATGTAAAGAATTTTCAGTGACATCCTTTTGGTTACTTGGGCAAAGGATCTGAATAGACTTTCTCCAAGGAAGATATCCAAATGGCCATAAGTCATGAAAACATGCTCAACATCATTAGTCATTTGGGAAATGTACGTCAAAACTATTATGAGATACAATTTCTTACCCCCTAGGGTGGACATGGTCAGAGACAGATAAAACGCTTGTTGGTGAAGATAGGAGAGACTGGAATCCTCATGCACTGCATGCGGGAACTTTAAATGACGCAGCTGGTGGGTCACAGCAAACGGGGAGGCTGAGGAAGGAGGATCTCAGTAGCGAGACCTTGTCTAAAAATAAAAAGGGTTCCCCAGTACCACCACTGCCTCCTCCCCCCGCCCCGCCCCACCAAAAAAAAAAAAAAAAAAAGCAAGCTAATGCTTTGGAAAAGAGTTTAGCAGTTTCTCAAAAGGTAAGCTTATAGGGCTGGGGCTGGGGCTGTAGCTCAGAGGTACAGCGCTTGCCTCCCAGGTGTGAGGCACTGGGTTCTATCCTCAGCACCAATAAAAATAAAATAAAGGCATTCTATCCATTTACAACTACAAAAACATTTCTTTAAAAAATTAAGCTTATATATCCAAGAAAAATGGAATGGAGATATGTCCATACAAGATCTTTCGTACACAGGTATTCATAGCACTATTATTTAAAATAGTCAAGAAGTGGGAACAACCCTAATGGTCCAACAACTAGGAAATGGATATGGTATGGAATGGCACAGTAATACGATAGAATATTATTTATTAATAAAAAAGAATGAAGTACTTATTCACGTTACAACATGGGTGAACCTTAAAAGCAGTTACAAGAGAGACAATATATGATTCTATTTATATGTACAGAATAGGCAACTCTGGAGACAAAGTAGATCAGTGGTTGGTAGAGCTAGGTAGTTAGGGGAATGAGAAACGACTGCTGCAGGGTACAGGGCTCCTTTCTGAGGTGATAAAACTGCTCTAGAGGCGGGCACAGTGGCGCATGCCTGTAATACCAGCGGCTCAGGAGGTTGAGACAGAAGATCTGGAGTTCAAAGCCAGCCTCAGCAACTGTGGGGTGCTTAGCAACTCAGTGAGACCCTGTCTCAAAATATAAAAAGTAGGGCTGGGGATGTGACTTAGTGGTTGAGTGCCCCTGAGTTCAATCCCCAGTACTTTCCCCCCAGAAAAAAAATGTCTAAAATTAGGTGGTGATGGTTGCGTGTTTTGATGGATGATAGTTACATATGCACAACTCTGGGGATATACTAAAAACATTGAGTTGTCCACTTTAAATGTTTAGTTTGTATGGTATGTGAATTGTATCTTGATAAAGCTATTAAAACATTGATAAGCATGTACATAGTTATGTAAACTTATAATTCAGGATGGATTTTAAAATATAAGAAGAATCATGCTATATAAATTGTTCTGAAAATTTTTAATCATTTTATGTAAGATCATATAATTCTATTTAATTTTTGAATGGTTGCATAGTATTACAAAAACTGCTCAGTTTTTTTTTTTCTTTCCCTTCCTTTCTGGTACTGGGGATTGAACCCAGGGTGCTCTGTCACCAAGTAACATCCCTAGCCTTTTTTATTGTTTGAGATAGGGTCTTGTTAAGTTACCCAGGCTGGTCTCAAACTTGATTCTTTTGTTTCAGCCTCCCTAGCAGCATGTACCAATGTGTTTGGCTAACTATACAATTTTCTTAATGGAAGAACTTGGTTGATCCAAAAAAATATATTTTTTAAAATTTTTTATTCTAATTTGTTATATACAATAGCAGGATATATTACAATTCATATTACATATATAGAGCACAACTTTTCATATCTCTGGTTGTATACAAAGTATATTCACACCATTCATGTCTTCTTCATACATATACTGAGGGTAATGATGACCATCTCATTCCACCATCTTTTTTTTTTTTACTCCATTACCCCCTCCCTTGCTCTCTCTCCCCTTTGCCCTATCTAGAGTTCATCTAATCTTCCCATGCTCTCCCTCCCAACCCCACTATGAATCAGCCTCCTTATATCAGAGAAATCATTCAGCATTTGGTTTTTGGGGATTGGCTAACTTCACTTAGCATTATATTCTCCAACTCCATCCATTTACCTGCAAATGCCATGATTTTATTCTCTTTTATTGTTGAGTAATATTCCATTATGTATGTATATATAGTACATTTTCTTTATCCATTCATCTACTTAAGGGCATCTAGGTTGGTTCCACAGTTTAGCTATTGTGAATTGTGCTGCAATAAACATTGATGGGGCTGTGTTCCCATGGTATGCTGTTTTTAAGTCCTTTGGGTATAGATGGAGGAATGGGAGTCAAAAGGTGGTTCCATTCCCAGTTTTCCAAGCAATCTCCACACTGCTTTCCATATTGGCTGCACCAACTTGCAGTCCACCAGCAATGTATGAGTGTGCCTTTTTCCCCACATCCTCACCAACATTTATTGTTGTTTATATTCTTAAAAGTTGCCATTCTTACTGGAGTGAGAGGAAATATTAGAGTAATTTTGATTTGCATTTCTCTAATTGCTATAGATGTTGAACATTTTTTCATAAATTTGTTGATTGATTGAATATCACCTTCTGAGAAGGTGATATTTGTTTTTTTGGAGTTTAGCTCTACTTTAGAGATTAGTGCTCTATCTGATGTGCAAGTGGCAAAAATTTGCTCCCAAGCTGTGGACTCTCTATTTACCTCACTGATTGTTTCTTTTGATGAGAAGAAGCTTTTTAGTTTGAATCCATCCCATTTATTAATTCTTGATTTTAATTCTTGTGCTATCGGAGTCTTTTAAGGAAGTAGGAGCCTAATCCAAAATGATAGAGATTTGGGCCTACTTTTTCTTCTATTAGGCTCAGGGACTCTAGTCTAATTCCAAGTCCTAGATCCACTTTAAGTTGAGTTTTGTGCATGGTGAGAAATAGGGGTTCAGTTTAATTTTGTTGTATATGGATTTCCAGTTTTCCCATCACCATTTATTGAAGAGCTATCTTTTCTCCAATGTATGCTTTTGACGCCTTTTTCTAATATAAGATACCTGTAATTATGTGATTAGTCTGTGTCTCTATTCTGTACCATTGGTCTACAAGCCTATTTTGGTGGTAACACCATGCTGGTTTTGTTACTATTGTTCTGTAGTATAGTTTAAGGTCTGGTATAGTGATGCCACCTGCTTCACTCTTCTTACTAAGGATTGCTTTAGCTATTCTGGATCTCTTATTTTTCCAGATGAATTT